TTTCCTCGGTTCTTAATATCTGAGTAGCGACATTTGGGCGATTATGATGAATAGCAGCTATACCTAGACTATCTATTAGTGATGTCAGGGTTATGAGAGAGTGAGCATTAGGCCAATTACCAATGATATCGTGTATTATTTGTTGACTTAAGTTAACCAAGCTTAAAATGTGGCCATGTTCTATAGTTTCGATTTCGTCCAAAGATACGACCTGGACATGTGTCTTGTGATGACTCGCTAAGATAAGACACATTAATCGCATTAAAGGCTTGGTTCGACTGTTGTAAAGAAGGGTTACACCATTGGCAGAAACATTTTCCGAAAGGGACCACATAAGAACAATCTTCATCATCAACCCTGGGTGATAAATTGGAAGGAACTCGGCAGATATTATACAATCTTTTGGGACGACTATCGTTGTTCCTGCTTTCGTTGGGTAACACGAAATGTACTTTTCCTTGTAGTTCGCCGAATTCAAATACCCGATAGCTTCTAAGCACAAAACTGGAAATCCACTAGAAATTGAAGCAGAATAAAGATGAGTGATATTTTCTGTACATGTGTTGTAAAGTAACGTATTTTGAATAGCTAAAGTATCAACTCTTAGTGATACTTCGGAATTGGTAGTAACATCTGGCCGATCGGAGTATATCAAATATGGATTTATGTAGTCATTTTTCGTTTCTGAAAATAGTTGAACTTCACATTTCTCGTCCATCTCGACTTCTCTATATTTATTCTCCATTCGATCTGCAATATGCAGGATTTCAAGACTGTAAACAACATTGTCTGTAATAAGAAACTCGCCGCCCCGTAATTCCTCTCCATTTTGACATATGGAATTGATTGTATTATATAATAAGTCAGTTGTGATGTCTTCTTCTTTTCCACTAACGTCAACTAGATTAAGGCGGAAACCAGTTAATTCTATTTCAACTGTTCTCAGCATTCCCCAAAGAGCCGCCGCAGAAGGATTTCCAACTGTAGTATTGCAGTTATAGCTCAGTATCCAAGTATCTAGAGTGATGACACAAAGAGGAATATCGATCCGCTTTGCCAACATGAAGAGAACAAGTTCTCGAATCTGCATGCACTCATCTAGAATACATTGGAATACAGTCGACGCCTCTTCTGCATCAGAGCTACGTTGATGGGAGATATACACGAGAGCTTTCTTATTACTCAGTTGACTAAGCTTCGAAAGCTGATCAGTGATAGATTCTGTCGTGTTAAGTTTAAATACATTTAAACCAGGTAGATCCAACTTTTGAGAATTGTCTAGAATTAACAATTCTGATAAATCTTCATTTTCTGCATCTTCGGTTGCGAGGGTATTGAATCGTTTCCAATGTATACTGTAGAGCATCTTTTTGTCTGCTGAGGCGATCACTAGATTTTGGGTGATGAAGTTTCGAGCTTCTGCAATTACGTCGCCATCTTCTGTCAACAATATGATATCATAATGGGTAGTTGATTCCGTCTTTTTTATAATCTTTCCGTAAGCAACCATATTGTCCTTTGGTGATCCTTTTAAGGTCAGTCTCCTAATCTGAACTGGTAGAATTTCTGTTCCTGCTCTATTGTCACCTTTGCGTGTTGCATCTGTACCCAATATCCCAGGCGTTTGAAGCATCCCATCGAGAATAGCTGGATGTATAAAAGTGCCAATTCTCTCTTGTCTGATTTCTTCGGGAAGGCTAAAATAGACTAAACATTCATAATCGTTCGACACGGCATGGGCAAGCACACGGAGTGGAGTCCCGTACGAAAACCCTAGTTTCTTTAATTCTCCGTAAATATCTCCCTGAGAAAACTCTAAATGACATCGATCTCTGATCTCATCTATATCTACAAATGTATTTTCCTGGTTATCTGCCCAACTGATTGAACCCACCGCTAAAATTTGATTATCTAGTAAAACAGTGTAGTTAGTTTTCTCCTTCTCTCTTCTATAATCATCTTCAACACTTGTTAAAACATCCAGTTCAACACTTTTTCCTGGATGTAGTACAAGGGGGTGTTTAAAGTTAATCGACACGGCTGTTTCAGTAACCCTTCCAGATGTTAAGTGCCCAGCAATAGCTAAACCTACTTCTCCATAAAAAGCGCCGGGTATGAAAATGTTGTCCAAAACAAAATGTTCATATACTGATCCAATTCTGTTAGGGTTGATCAGGACTTTGTAGCTTTTATTTGCGCCAATAATTGGTCTTAGAAATGGATGGCCACTCGAATGCCGGTCCCCTCCCATTAAGGCAAGCTTTGATGTCTCTGGAATAATTAAGTTTGACTTTGGATTGAAATGATACTGTGGCACGTCTATAACATTTCCTCTTTCAGCAAGAACATTATCCCAATTTGGGTCAATTCCGTGTGCATAAAGCTCTGCTAAATTTTGCATCATACAATTTGTTTCCATATCCTTTTTCATTGAGATCAACACGCATGTTTGGTTTAGATCAAAATTTTCTTTAGAATGGGCAATGAGTACAGGTTTTGACCCAATTTCAAGAAAAATATTGAAACAATCTTGAGTTACAGCATCCTGGAGTGCCTGTTGGAACAACACTGGTTCTGTGACATTTTTTGCCCAATATTCTGCTGTTATAAAATCTGATTCTATAGCTTCTTTGGCTGATACTGTTGAATACAGTTTCACATCAGGTTTTGTACCTTGTAATCCTGATAGATCATACTTTATCTGGTTGGAACACTCTGTCATATGATGACTGTGGAAAGCACTGGTTACCGTCAAATCGTGTAGAAACAGCGGGATTTCTAAATCTTCTTTTGCTGATTGGATTCTCGATTTCACCATTTCGATAACGTCAGTATCCCCACTTAGGGTGCAGGATTTAGGACTATTGTGTACAGCAATAACTACTTTTCCTTGGTAATCATCAACTATTTTCTGAACCTCGCCTACATCATAATTACCAACAACCAGCATAGACCCCCCTATGGCATTGGCTTGTCGATATGTTCGATAATAAATAACTTTCACTGCATCCTTCAAAGACAGTGCTCCTGCTGAATGTGATGCTGCTACTTCGCCAACTGACTGACCAACAACGCAGTCTGGTTTTATTCCCCAGTATTTCCACACAGCATCAAGGGCAACCTGACACGTAAATGATGCAATTGGGCCGAAATATGGATCTGTTGGATCAAAACTATCATCAAATCTTTGACAAATCGACCAACCTGTCAGTGGTAACAATAAAGCATCTATTTCCAGTATTTTCTTGTAAAAAACGTGGTTAGTTTTCATGAGCTCCTTGCACATGCCCTTCCATGTACTTCCCATTCCACAAAATACAAAAATGATGTGCTTTTGTTTCTGTAGAGCTTTAGCCGGAACTTTGTCAATTGTGGTTTTGCTTTCTAATTGATCTACAGCGTCGTCCATTGATTTGACCACCTTAGCAACTCTTACTGGGTAGTGATCTCTTCTTACAGTTGAGGTGAAGGCCACATCATCTATAGAATAAGCTTGCGTTTTAGCTTTCTCACAAAAATGCTGAATACTGCCCTTCACTGAAATTTCGTCTACTCCAGAGAAGCAGATAAGTCGTAGTTTGTCAGGATCGATGGATTTAACTGCTTTGGCTCCATTATAAGATTTAATGATAGCATGGCAATTTGTTCCACCGAAACTAAATGAATTAACGCATGATAATTTTGTTCCGTCGTAACTGTATGTCGGCCATTTGTCGGTACTTGTTGCTACTATAAGCTTTAGCTTATCAAAGTCAATCTTTTCATTTGGTGTATCGAAATGAAGAGTTGGGACGATAAGTGAGTGTTTCTGCATCAGAAGAACTTTAATTACACCTGCTACTCCTGCAGCTGACTCCAGATGGCCAATGTTAGTTTTAACTGAGCCAATATAACGTGGAGCATTTTTGATATGATCTGCGAGAAATCCACCCAAGCAGTTCGCCTCCACGGGATCGCCAGCCTGTGTACCAGTTCCTATTAAAATTGAGATATCATAATATATATACATGCAGTCAATATTTACAAATTAAGTAACTTGGATGGAAAATACTTTCTTTGTTATGTTAATAGTTTTATTCCAATTTTAACAGCTATTTAATTACGTTGTGGCATCAGGGTATTTACAGTTAGTTTACATGTATTATATTTTAGCTATGTGTTCAATGTGTTAGTCAACTATTTAGTTAGACTAAAGAGCGTTAAAATAGACGAAAATGGGCATAAAAGTGCATATTAATTTGAGTGAATAATCTTTTTATTTTAAAATTCTTATTTCTAGTGAAATACGTGAACAGTCTATTCTACACATTTTTCTTTGTACTCTAAAACATTATGTCCATAGATTACACGAAGTCGTGTTCTGATTTTAAAATGTGTTCACCGTGTCCTAAATATTGCATATTAGGATCCCATATCATGGTATTATGGTATTGCCAGTTAACATTTGCATCGTATCTTTGTTAATCGTCTATTCATGTTATAGTTGGACTCCTAGTTAACCTTTTGCTTATCATATCTGTAGTATTCTTTGTCAAACTATTCACGATTAAATTATATCATTGTCAATTTATTATTCATATTATCGTGGCATCTCATTTAACCAATTGTATATGTTAACGATGTATACTTGTTTATTCAATATAAGGTATGCATAGTTGTTTGTTGTATACTTTAGAATTATAGCCTCGCTAATTTTCTAATTACTTTCTGGTAGTGTTCCTAGTTTGTATAAATATGTTGTTTTATTTTATGATCAGTAGTGGAATACCGCGTTTTATCAGTGAAATAAAAGTGTTATTCCACTGGCTAGTTGTTTTTACCTAAAATGATTGTAAAATCATAAAATAAATAGAACATTTGTCGTTTTGTCGTGAATAACATATTTTATTTCTTCTCTAAGCAAGAAAACGTTTATATTTTCTTGCTATTCGATGAAATAAAATATGTTATTCACTCTAAAACGACAAATATCCTCTATATATTGTTGTGTTGTCAGTATGCTACATACCGTGAGCTTCTATGTATTCCAGTCGATCAGGATCAATATTATATCTGCTATAAACTGTTTTCAATAATTGGAATTGTTGACTTCCTGAGGGGGCTGTCATGGGCGTCACAGTGTGGCCGTCCTGGTTACACCCTGTCATAATTGTCCCCCATATTGGATCGTTATCACGTTCTGCCTGAATTTCATAAAGGTTAAATAGTTAGTAATGAAACAAACCATGAAAATCGCAAAATGATATTAACGTTTTGAAATAGGTAAACCTAGAGTCATAGTTTCTAATATTGTTTATTAAATGAGAAAACAAACTATACCGTAGTCAAATGTACTCACGTCCTTCAGTCGTTTTAAAAGAATTATCCCTGCACCTTCACCTCTTGCATAACCATCAGCTTTAGAGGAAAAAGCCTGACAATATCCAGTAGGGGATGCCATCCTGGCTTTACTGAGTTGAACAAATATACTAGGAGACATCAATGAGTTAACTCCCCCTGCTAAGGCCATGTCACAATCACCTGTTAATGATAATGTAAACTGTGCTACAACTAGCTAACAGCATATTACAAACTAGTTCAGCCATTGATAGGGTAGCGCACAAATTTACTGAGTTGAACAAATATACTAGGAGACATCAATGAGTTAACTCCCCCTGCTAAGGCCATGTCACAATCACCTGTTAATGATAATGTAAACTGTGCTACAACTAGCTAACAGCATATTACAAACTAGTTCAGCCATTGATAGGGTAGCGCACAAATTTACGAACTCGGCCATATAAGATGAAAGGAAATTTAGGTAAGCCTTGGAGGGGGGATGTTTGATAGGGTATTGATAGGGTAGCGCACAAATTTACGAACTCGGCCATATAAGATGAAAGGAAATTTAGGTAAGCCTGGGAGGGGGGGGGGGTGTTTGAAAAAATTTGATTGTAAATTATTGTAATTGGAATAGGCAAAGCAATGAATGACTGAAGATTCTCAACTTTTCAAAGATTTCAATGACCCCCCCCCCCTCCACCCCCGGACTTATCTAAATTTCGTTTCATCTTGTATGACCGAGTTCGTCAATTTGTGCGTCACCCGATCAATGGCATCGGTCAAGTCGTGTAGATAACGGGGACGTATTTTTCTAACAGCGTGTTGTGTCGCTCATACGGGTTTTAGCGAGGTAAGCGAGGTCTTATTTTCTCACTAAGATGTTCATTTACATTGTTCAGGCGTTCACAGGGACTGACACGCGACCGTTGAGCAGTAAAAGGTTGCCCAGTAAAATTTACTGGGAAGTGAAATTTTTTCGCCAAGGATTCAATAGGACGGCTGTTTCTGAACGTACAGGGCGAGTGTAATGAGACTACGTTCAGAGCTGAACTAATTTCAAACAACTTGTATATTTGATTTCGTATTTTGTAAACCGGCTAGACGTTTCTACTTCAATTTAGGGGCTTGTGAACATTTAAATGTATTGAATGACATGGGTAGACAACACTCGTGACTAGAAAAGAATCAAAATGTTGAACACCGAAAGAAAGTGAACGATCGTGCATAGCTGGTGAAGAAATACGTTTTAACCATATGTACGGTTCTAGTTGTGGCTATAGTAACCATCGGACAGGAGTGGGTGTGTGTATGTGCCAATTCGTTTCTAGTCACGATTATCATAACGACAAGAGAACACTTGCCGAAATGTTGTGATATGGCTGTAAAAACCAGTGATTGTTTTTCATAGAAATTGTGTTTTTAATTTCATGTTCGTGAGTGATGTAATAATTGCCAGCCGTATTCAGAACCAACATTACCTTCTCTTAGAGCTTGAGCAGCAAGATGAATAGCTAATAAAGATGATGAACAGGCTGTATCTAAAGCCATAGCAGGCCCAAGAAGATTGAAGGTGAACGATATGCGTGCAGCTACAATACTGGTAGAGGTTCCAGTTAAGGAATAATTATTCATATTTTCACTGTCAGTTGATTGGAGATTTTTATAATCACTATTCATTACACCTTAAACAAAAAATAGACATAGGTTATAAAGTAGTGAAAGGTCTCGAGCAATGAAAACACGACAATGATTTGAATGGAAGTGCTTGAAACAAATTGTTGGCCTGATTGTGGGCTGGACCTTTACCGACACAAGAAAATCACCAACAACACACGGAGGCCTTAACAACTTCGCTTTACTGTGACAATTATACATAGTGGTTAACCAGCGGCTGCCAGGCAGGATACGCCCACAATTTGCAAGAGATGGATAGAGAACAAGCTAAAAACAAAAACGATTTTTTGAACAATCAGGTGTCATAATCCAGAAAGTTATGGTCTGAAATGCGCAAATATCAACAGGGACTGAGATTTGTGGAATATAAAAATATTTTTTAAGCTTCATCAGAATTGGATACAAATTGTGACCTCTAGAGGGTCCACAACCTTCGTATTGCATACTTTTACACAATTTGCGTACAAAGAGCGGCCATTTTGTCGGGCAGTTTCATTTCGATTTTCTCGAAATTCGAATTCAACCTTCATTATGGTGGAATGGTGAAATATTTAAATGGTTTTTAAAATCGAAAAAAAAGGTTGTGACCTCTAGAGAATCTGCAAGCTAAAAATGCGATTTTCGAACAATCAGGAGCCATAATTTTTTATCAAAAACCTTTGTATTACATACTTATACACAATTTGCGTACAAAGAATGGCCATTTTGTCGGTCAGTTTTCATTTTTCTGAAATTCCAATTCAACTTTTATTATGGTGGAAAGGTGATATATCTAAACGGTTTTTAAAATCGGAAAAAAAATGTAACCTCTAGAGAATCCACAAGCTAAAAATGCGATTTTTTGGCCAATCAGGGGCCATAATCCATGAAGTTACATTCGGATATGTGTGATTATCAAAAGTTTTCTCTGATTTTCACGAAATTTAAACTCAACCATCATTAGTGTATAACTGTGATATATTCACACGGTTTTTTTTTAAATCGGATAAAAATTATGACCTCTATAGGGACCACAAGCTCAAAATTCGATTTTTTGTACAATCAAGAGCCATCACAAGGAACACAAATCTTTTGGTTATAAACATGCTTATCAAGTTTTATCAAAATCGGATCAAAATTGTGACCTCCAGGGGGTCCACAACCTTGATATGCCAGATGTTTACACTATTTGCGTATGAGGAGCGGCCATTTTGTCCGACAGTTTTGGTCCGATTTTCACGAAATTTGAACTCAACAATCATTAGGGTGTAACGGTGATATACTAAACGTTTATTTTTTAAATCGGATAAAATTGTAACCTCTAGAGGGACCACAAGCTAAAAGGGCAATTTTTCGTACAATCAGGGACCATAATTCAGGAATTTACAATCCGATATGCGCGAATATCGAAAGGAACCAAGATTTTTGGGATACAAACATGCATTCCAAGTTTCAGCAAAATCGGATGAAAATTGTGTCCTCTAGAGGGACCACAACCTTGATATACCATATATTACACTATTTGCGTACAAAGGGCGACCATTTTGTCCGGCAGTTTTGGTCCGATTTTCACGAAATTCAAAATCAACTATCGGATAAAAATTGTAACCTCCAGAGGAACCACAAGCTAAAAGCGCAATTTTTCGTACAATCAGGGACCATAATTCAGGAATTTACGATCCGATATGCGCGAATATCGAAAGGAACCAAGATTTTTGGGATACAAACATGCATTCCAAGTTTCAGCAAAATCGGATGAAAATTGTGTCCTCTAGAGGGACCACAACCTTGATATACCATATATTACACTATTTGCGTACAAAGGGCGGCCTTTTTGTCCGGCAGTTTTGGTCCGATTTTCACGAAATTCAAAATCAACTATCATTAGGGTGTAACGGTGATATACTAAAACGTTTTTTTTAAATCGGATAAAAATTGTGACCACAAGCTAAAAATGCGAGTTTTCGTACAATCAGGGGCCATAATTCAGGAAGTTACGATCCGATGTGCGTGAATATCGAAAGGAACCAAGATCTTTGGGCTATAAACATTATCCGATTTAAAAAAAACGTTTGAATATATCACTCTTACACCGTAATGATGGGACCAAAACTGCCTAACAAAATGGCCGCCCATCTTACGCTAATAGAGTAAAAATGTGGTATATCAAGGTTGTGGACCCTCTAGAGGTCACAATTTTCATCTAATTTTGATGAAACTTGACATACTTGTTTATAACCCAAAGATCTTGGTGCCTTTCGATATTCGCACATATCGGATTGTAACTTGCTGAATTATGACCCTTGATTTTATGAAAAATCGAGTTTAAAGCTCGTGATCCCTCTAGAGGTAACATATTTTATCCGATTTTGATGAAACTTGTAATGTATGTTCATAACCCAAAGATCTCGGCTTCCGTCGATATTCGCGCATATCGGACAATATCTTCCTGGATTATGGTCGCTGATTGAACAAAAAATCAAATTATTTTTTAGCTCGTTCTCTGGCCATCTCTTTCAAAATGTGGGTGTATCTTGCATGACAACCGCTTTTTTTCTATCTATATAAATTACTTTTTATTTATTCATTCACGGTGTAGTCGAAAGGTGATATTTTTATGGAAGAATCTATTTTAAGGATAATAAAACCACCAGAACATATAAGCTGTCCTTTTGGTGGTAATAATTAAATGCCTTCTCAAATCATTACAACTCCCTATCCCAACGATCAGTTTGCCCAATACAATCATTGATATTCCTCTCGTCACGCATACCCTATTCATGTGCCATAAAATGGTGATATTCAGCATTCCATAACTGTCGAATTCATTTTTATACGGTATATGAGCGTATTATCCGTCACCAATCGGCTTGTAAAAGCGATAGCAGCTACAGCTTTTGACGATTTTTGTTCAAATTTGGTGTGAAGCATCGTGACCACGAGGGCTCAAACCCTATATATATTCAGCAATCCGCAACTTTCCGTTCCAGAGTAATCACCCTTTGCCGAAAACCCTGTGAACGCTATAGCTGATACCGTTATATATAAAAATATGGTGTAAAGGTACGGGGTTATGAAAGGAAGACCCCGAACGACATTCCCTCGTCCTGTGTCTTTATTACGTAGTTATTACCATTTTGCCGAAAACCTTGTGAACGCAATAAAGTTACAGTTTGTGTTGGTTTATTTTTTTTTAATTTGGTGTGAAGTATTAGGTTTATGGGAGGATATTAAATCCTATTTGTGTTCCGGAGTTATCGCCGTCACAGCTGTAACGGGTAATTAGTTGTTGAGCCTTTGTGTCACGAGTAGTACGAATCCTATCGGTATTCAGCATTTCATAGTTACGCTCCCTTTTCCGAAAGTCTTTAGTGGATTTGTTTTAAATCAGGTGCCCTTTTTCTGAAAACCCCGTGAATGTGATAGAGGCTAGATATTTTAACAGTTTCTTTCAAGCTTGTGAACCCGATAGAGATCACATTTCTTGAAGGCATCCTTATCAAACCTGGTAAACATCCAAGTTTTCTTTTAGATAAGCTGCTTTAGAGACATAACCAATGTGTGGGCGTATTGCAAGGCTTTCTGTGGCTACCTTATTAAATTTCTGAGAGTAGGTTGTTACATTCAAAATTAAAGTGTATCCCTCATACGAAATTTACCGCAATTCGTTTATAAACATGCTGAGTTTTCATTGCATTGTCGAATAAGTTAATACAATAGAATTTAAATTTCAAAAAATACGTTCGACTAACCTATATAGACCCCAGTTTTAGACCCATGCATAGTCTTTCTTGTTACTCCAGCATTTTCCATGGCTTTAAAACAACAGTCTAATACAAATCTCTGTTGAGGATCCATTTGACTTGCTTCAAAATCATTTACACCATAGACTTTATTATCCCAGGAATCATGACTAAAAAGAAATGAGATTATTTTCTTGTTAGATTTTCTCGAAAAATATTACCCATCGTCAACACATACATTGTGTTGAATATGTTTTATTTATGTGTATGCTTACTTATAATTATTAACTTCGGACAGTCTTGGAATCCGTAGAAAGCCTTAAACAACCTCCATGCTGTTTGTCACCGCAATGCCGCGCAATGCGTCGTGACAAGGCTTGTCATTTCGCAAGAAGTTGTGTTAACGCCCTGTTCGCTTATTGAACACTCATAAGGTACGACTGTTCACGCACACACGTGGCACGAACATTCATGCGTGCCGAATTTCTGAAAATTTCAAAATTCTGTCTACGACCTGGCAGGCACGCCCGCATCCGTCGCACATTCCTCGCGCTCATTCCCAAAAGACTTTAATCACTGACACGTGCGGGAACGGAAATCGTTCAATTATCAGGTTGGCATGATTCAGTAGTGTGTATTGGAATAGTCATCATCAGTATCCCCATTGATATCGTCCCGATTTGCTCCACCATAGTCTGGGTTCAATCGCTAGGGATTCACGAATTCAAACTATCTTCTCTTGATCGTAGATTGATTAACGTCATTGTTAACGTCCATCACAATAATCATTTTATTTTATCGTACAATAGTACAGCGAGCATCTTGGGGGCCCTCGTATGCTGCAAGGATGTCATCCAGTGAAGGTGTAAGTTTCTTGGGACAGTCATGTTCCCGTGGTCGCTTGCCTATGCCTGGCATCGTGGAGATATTGCAGGTAATTCGTCGTAATTCGTGGTAGATGTTGTAACTTGGGTTATGTAGGGAACAGATCGGTGCGGCAGTTGTCGCTTTCTTATATAGCCGAGACAAAAGTAGCCGATCCGTAATGGATTTGGGATAGTTCGTAGACGATTCGCCCAATCGTAAACTATTCGTAAACGATTCGAGATGAGTCTGAGGAGTGTTTGAAGGGTGTGGGCGTCCGTACGTGCCATCCGTTGAGAGAATTTTGAAATTTTCAAAATGTTCGTGCCAAGTGCATGCTTGAACACTGTGCAAACTCGACCCCTTTGATCC